TGTGTGTGTGTGTGTGTGTGTGTGTGTGTGTGTGTGTGTGTGTGTGTGTGTGCGTGTGTGTGTGTGCGTGTGTGTGTGTGCAGGGATTGCCCTGTCACTGGCAACACTGTTCCACTTCTCCTCAGTGACAAGCAGCAGCACATTGCGGGACAGCTGAGCAGGAGGGAGGAGGGGGAGGGATCAGTCCTCCTCACCCCAGGTTAGCCTCAAGATCATCACTGACCTGGAGAACTGTCATCTGAGCGCAGTCGGGAAATCTCAGATATGTAAGAGGAGAATAACATAACAAGAGTGGAGCAGTGTTGATTAAAGGGGGATAAACAAGGACCTCTATCCAGTGAGATAACATATGATACACAATAGCCAGTGACCGATGATATATTTCCATGATATAACTATATGATGTTGTACAATTTATAGTGAAAACCGAGACAATGTTTGTTATTTGAGTTGCTGTAATTGCTGGAAAAGCTGACAGAGATTTATTTAAACCAAAGTAAATATGAATTCATCATCTAAAACCTGATTCATTAGATGTGTTTGAATTGTATGCTTGACTAAATACACATTTTACATTTTCTGTGTTCAGTAGTAGTTTCTTGCTGTGCACTAAGAAAAGGACTCTCTTAGGTTAGTAAACAATTATTTGGAATTTATTAATTGGAAGTGTACTAATTGAAAGTTTTCCCTAAAATTAAAACCAAAACATAGTCCTTACCAGGCTCCTTTACAATCCATTGGAACAAATTAAAATTACTTTTCCGCAAACTGGAAAACTTGGAAACTTTTTTATTATCATTTTGCCTTAAAGACCCATTTTCATATAAATTTAAATAGTTCCTTAATATATAATGCAATTAATTGACATCACTACACAGTGGGTGCATTTAAATACATAGTGAACATGGTTGTGGAGCAACATAAACACGGGATACATATTTTAAAGAATGTGCGGTTAAGGAAAAGGAAGGGAAGTGTGTCTATCTCTGTATTTAAACTGGAGTGTTTCTGTTGGTATGCATTGTTCTGCTTGAGGTCTGGACTCATGCAACAATGTACTGGACTAGACACGTGCCTTCCAGAGGGGACATGGTCACCATAGTGACAGCAACAGATGCCCAACTTTGTCGCCTCGGAGACTGTTTCTGTACAGTCGCCATGATAACTGCATGTCCATTACTGAACCCTGTGATGACAGTTTTCTGTTATCAGACACAGCTCTCTTCTCTCAGATCATGGTGATTTTATGCTGACTACACAACATTATTAGTGAAAGATGACAAGGCAGTGTGCTCCTGCCAGATCACCATAATAAACACAACACCATGAACGCAAATCAATCAGCCAACTACTCTGAGTGAATGGGAGCAGTCTGAGCTGATTACTACTCTACTACGCCCCGTGCACTAATTCGGTTGAGTAATGAACCTTACATAAGCTGCAGTGCTGACTTGACTGATGCCTGAAGGTGATGTGACACTACTACGGCCCAACTAATCATCGGGAGAATACTCCCATTCATTGCAGTTCAGAATGAAGTGCCCACACCTGTGTTTTCACAGGGCTCTGGAGGCCTGGAGAAAGCTTTCTAAGTCAGGGGGGAAACAGTAGTTCTGTAGCCCAGCCATGCTGCTGCTCACTGGGGCTTTTATCGCAGGGTAATCCCCTACAACAAACAGAATGGCCGGCATGTGCATATGCAGCTGTCGCAGTCTTAGTGCAAGTGGTGTCATGTTAAATCACAGGAATGGACTGAGCCCGAGCCATCCGCTGCCCTTCCCTGTGCTGGCATCCCGCTCACTGCGAGGCTCCAAGCACACATGGACAAACACATATGCATACTCATATTTACGCGCATAAACCACTTCCCACAAACATATTTTGCAGCACATGATAGCCCTAAATATATTCAATGTAAATATCCCGTGCTCCACTGTGACATCATATTCCAGTACTGTGGCAACTCAAAATAGAAGATGCCATTTCCTGTTAATCAGAACGGTATCTCACAGGGTAAAGCCAGGCCCTCATAAAATCAATCCAGTTTAATTTGAAGGCAATTTACACCTCGACGTTGACCAAGTGTAAACCACACTTAGTCAGTGGTGTGTGTACGACTGCGGTGTTGTGAGATGTGAGTGGATAAGTATGTGGAAACTATGCTCAGCCCAGCTTCCGTATATATCATCTTCCATATCAGACCTCCTGCTGTGGGTACCAGGAAAGCTCTAAAATGTTTCTCCTCTAATCTCATTTTAATGTGTCACATCTCTATTTTCCTCCTCATGCCAACTCTTATTTTGAAATTATCTTTGTCTTTATGACTTATTCTGTATATCTGGCTCCACTGACCTTCTCCCATGTCAGCAGCGGGACACATTTAGCGGCCTGGTTTCTGGAGCGACCAAATAGCCGGACACAACAGAGGGAAAGTGTGTGTGTGTTTGGTGTGTGTGATTGGTGTGTGTCTGTGTGTGTGTCTGCATGGAGCTGAAAGAAAAGTACACACAGATACGGTTACAGATATCCAGACACACAACCAGAAGAAAGCAAAGGAGGGTAAACAGGCTGTAGGTATGCAGACAAAGGACACAAGAAGAGATTATATAGCGATGTATATTTATAAAGGTGCATCAAAAGTACAAGAAAGCCTGTGAGAGCAATAAAATGATAAAAATGGGCAAAAGTATGGGAGCAATGTTCAGCAGAGAGCTTCTATCTGAACTATTTTCTCTGTAGGAAGTATTGCATATACGCAATAGGGGATAGAGGGAGAATGTGTTAAGTTATTCTGGGATGTTGGGATAGATGTTCTGTCGCCATGGAAACATGCAGATCCCCCTACCACTCCCTGGGCCGTGCCATTCTGGAGCTGCCAAGCTCCGGGTGCCTTGTCACCGGGGGTGTCGTCGTGCCATTCTTTCTGCCTCTACGCTGTGAGACTTGCCAGACGCTGCGGACAAAACGGTATGCCATTCTTGAGTTAGATGCAAGAGTCCGCAAAAGCATGTTGGTATGGCTGTCACGAGCGTTTAATACTGTGGGGCAAGTCACAGGGAGGACAGCAACACCCCCCTCAGACGGGATGTTTGCCAATGGTGGAATGTAAGCAAGTAGGCCCGTCTTCAGTACTGTAGGCCTACACGAGGACAAGGTAGACAAAATAGGTTTGCTTCACAAATTAAGATCTCATACAACATGATGCATTGCTGTAGATTAAACTAGCCAGCAGTAACAGAGCTGAAATGATTAGCCCATTTATTGATTAGTCGATAGAACTAGTTTGTAATTATGTATTAGTATGACAGTCTTTACATTGAGATGTTTACTTTTAATACTTAAAGTACAATTAACTGATAATACACTTGTACTTAGGTAATTGCAGAACATTTACTTGGAATTGAGTATTTTTACAACATGGTATCAAAGAAACAAATCTGAATACTTCCTTCACCTTTGATGTTTTAACCTAGAATGCCTCCCTCTGTAAAGCCCGGAGTAAAACTACAGCTTCAAAGAGCTTTAAAAATACATTTCCCTCACTATGAATGTACTCATATTTAATGAAAATACGTCTGTACGAGCTATTCCTCTAGGCTTTAGTGAACCCTTGTTTTCAGATGGTGGAGAGCTTCTCGGGGGACTTTCCTCACTCAGGGAATTTTCCCTAATGGGTAATTATTATCTATACAACATCCTGGGATAGGATAGCTGCCCTAGGCAGAATGTGTTACAGCAAAATACAGTATATACTGTAGACAAGAGGACGACGTGTCTGTCCCTAAAACACGGCAGACACAAGAAGCAGGACAGTGAGTAAGCAGAGAACACATGACAGCTGGCCTGTCACACACTAACTTATACTTCAGCCAGAACACACACACACACACACACACACACACACACACACACACACACACA